ATATATATATATATATATAAGTGAACATTGAAGTCAACACTCAGTGGCAAGAGGCTTTTTCATGCTAGACACAATCATCATGCGGCCTGACGATTGCATCTACGTGAAACAGCCTGTCGTCTCTGAGTGTTGACTTCAATGTTCACTTTTATATTTATATTTACATACGCTCTATCTCTGATATTGAGCACTTCATCCCGTAAATATAGCACACCTTAAAACTATATTTCTTATATATATGGATGTAAAATTTCAAATATAGCCTCAATATATATGTAAAAGGACAATATGATTAAAGAGAAAAAGGAGAATTTTCTTATCCGACTCGTTTCGTCCTCTGAAAGACTTCATCAAGGCAAATATAAGCATATTATTTTGCAATAAGTATTTATAAGCAAAAAGTAAAATGTTATTAGCTTAATAATAAGAGAATCCTCCATAACTTATCCAGTTAATATGAATATTTAGAAGCGTTCATTCAATTTAATAATTTCGAAAATCTAACATTTCTACTTTTGCTTATGAATACTTGTTGCAAAATAAAAATCCTTACATTTGCCTTGATAACGTCGATCAGATGATGAAAAGTTTTCCTTTTGTCTCTATTCACACACACACACACATATATATATATATATATATATATATAAAATATAGTTTTAAGGTGTGCCATATTTATGGGATGCCAGACGATTGCGTCTAGTATGAAACAGCTTGTCGTCTCGGAGTGTTAACTTCAATGTCCACTTTTATATTTACATACGCTCTATCTCTGATATTGATCACTTTACCCCAGAAATATACCACACCTTAAAACTATATTTCTTTATATATATTTTTTTAACCGGTGACAGTCTGTATCTTCAAACCTGAAGATTACGTTCAAGCACGTAACAACGCTATCACCTCTTGGTGTTGACCTCTGGGTCCACTTTTAGATTATCTGCAATTTTAAGCATTATTATGTTCATTTGATTTAACCATGGAAAATGTGTCAGTCCGAGAACTTTTCAGCACGTAATTTTTTTTTTTTTCGGAATGAGGTGTCTTCTGTTGTACGGAAGCGCGTTACTTTATTAAACATTTGTGACCCGAGTAAGCAGTTGCCTAATACCTAAAACCCTCAACGTGAAACAGTGTTTCCTATTGGAACATGATCTCATTCCTGAAGTGGTGGTAATTCATTTCAGTCTACCTAATTTATATTTTTTAAAGCACTCACTTGACCCTATGTTATTATCACCAGCATCAATTGACGAATAATAATCAGCTAAAAAAAAAACGATTAGTTCTTATGAAGTAGGGACCGCTTGGTCTAATTTTCGGATTCTGCAAATTGAACCTGGTCTAATCTGATGTTCCTTTAAAGTCCAGCCGCTCTAACCAAGAAGGTGTGAAGAAGCTTGTGGCATTTCGATGCAGATTTCAAGTTGCACTCATTGACCTTTTCATCCAGGTCTGACAGTAGAAATTAGAAACTGCATTGAATCGGACGAATTGTCCAAGCGGGACTAGTTTCTGGGAGATGAGGATGGGTCAAAAATACAGGCGCAGGTGTCAGACGCTAATTACCTGTGTTCCCGGTGGAACAGAACTTAGATATTACTTAGTGTTTATAAATAGTGACACGAGGGGGTGGAGGTTCAGCAGTCGTGCTTGTAACCGACAGCCAATGTACTCATGTAACCTTTACACCTGTGTGTCTGTTGCAATGAAATGTACGCAAGTTGCAATAAGCTTCGAGCGAGAGAAACATCTTCAGATCGAACACCTTTTGTGAGGAAATAATCCATTTGCTCTTTGAAGCTCATTGTATTAAGGCAATAAATCAATTAAAAGATCGCCGTAGTGATATAAGTAAATCAAAGAAAGCTGCACATAACCTCCGTACTTTAGAAACAAGGGTAGCTCAGTAAGAGGCGAATGAATTTGATGTCATAAATAGCGTGCGACGATTGATAATAGCTCAAAGGACAAATTTTCTGCAGAGAGGTAGAGAATATCTTTTATTCTACTTTTTCTGTTTTATAATTCTAGGTTTAATATTTCCTAAAGTTATGAAGTTTTCAAACAATGTCAAAATAGAATACACACCTGCTTATTTCAATTGCCGTCATATATATATATATATATATATATATATATCGTATCTGACGGCATATAAGACGTACTCCAATTTCAGCAGGGAAATCAAGAAAAAAATAATAATTAGTAAAATTAGTAAAATTATTAGTAAATGGTACAGTCTAGGCTATATTTACGAGCTATTATTTTGGTTAAACAAGTCATGATTACAATTCAACGAAAAATAATAGAAAAAAATAACACGAGCCAATAAAAACTATATTATATCCAAAGATAAGAAAACAAAATAAAAATCAAGCAATTATTACAATTGAGCAAAACAGTACAGTTACCATTAAAATTCAGTCAAAATTTTTCCTTTATATGATCTGTACAACCGGTATCTTGTAAACATCTTATAGAATATTTAGGATATAAAAATTGTGTTTGTATTTATACCAATGCAAACCGAAGTTATCGCAAGAAAAATATTAATGAAATAACTATATTTTACAAATATATAATTTGAATTTATTGTATATAATTGTAGTGAAACAAAGGATTAATATTAAACGCGATGAAATTAATATAATGAATATCATCAATGATAACACTTATAATCAGTATAACCTTTTAAATAATGACAATAGGTATATGAAAGTTACTCTAAAGTCTAAGCTAATAGGAGTTGTCAGATAGCTAATTTCGGCCAAGGATCGCGAATTCTAACTCTCTATGTGGCATATAAGAGGCAAGGAATTTTAAAAGATATTTTTTGTAAAAACAAGTGCATCATATGCCGTCAAATACGGTGATTTATTATTCATAATAAAATAATTAACCAACAACTGTTTCTAATATTTATATTCTCTAGAAAACCGTGGAGTAATAGATAGCTGCTCGGATTGAGGAATCGGAGAGTCAAGTTCGAATTCCAGTCGAATCCATTACATTCACTTACGCGCTAATACCTTTGGGAAAGGTATGAATCCATCTCTTCTCCGCCAGCTATGGATAAATAACTGCACAAACCGAATCCTATAGCCTTGAGTGGCAACCCATCTAGAAGAAGAACAATTCTGAATTCAAAACCTGTTGCCTAGTGTACGGGCAGTGGGCGACCACCACCATATTCCGTGGTTTTCGTATGTCGGTCAATGTCTTGGAAAGGAGATGGGCGCTGCCATTTGAAGCTATCTCAAAGCTCACTGAATGGATCATCTATATATCAAATCTTTCAAATATCCGAATCTTTTGTTTTATAGGTAAATTTGCCAAAATTTTATATAAACGTTTATTTCCTATTATTTCCACCCGCTAAGTACTTTCGAATGTTGCTCCATTCACTTGTCAGTATTTACGATTTGTACCTTGTGTTTTACTAATTTTTTTTTTATTTTCAGTCGTCAGCAGGGAATATTCTGGTTCGAACATTGTAGATTGCTGCTACAGAATAAAAAACAAAGAACTGTACCAAATAACAGAAACCACATCATTTGAGGTCTTTCAATAGCAGCTGATATGGATATCACATGTAACTCGAATAGAAAATAATGGCAAAATCAAGATGCTAACATTCCACACGACTTCAAACAAAAGGTTAGGAAGGAAACCACCATTAATGCTGGAATGAACGATAACAGTACAAGACTTAAGAAATCTATTTTCTGGAAAAATTGTTTTAAAACTATGAGAAAGATTTTTAAAATTTCAACTTAAAGCAGGAATTGCTGCTCGGTTAATCAATACCGAATTTCCTCATGACAAAATGGCTAATATCATCATTATCATTACATATGAACAAATGAACACCCCAAAAAATGTCATACTGATACTGTTCAACATGATTTGAAAAGTACTTAAGATCTTGTATATTAAGTCCAAGAAACCTTCCCTCTATAAGGAACGGTTTCTCGGTCTTAATGTAATCTGACTGTGATCTATATTTAAGTATTTTACATTGAGGAGCCACGGTGGATTTCGGCTCAGATTACGGAATCAGAAAACCGAGTTCGAATTAGGTCGAATTTATTACATTCACTAACGTGCTAATATCCTTGCTAAAGGAATGAATCCATCTCTTCTAAGCTATGGATAAATAGCAGGGCAGATTGTGTTCTATAGCGTGGTAACCGGTCTAGGATTTCAAACGAGCCCGGGGAGGGTTGGGCACCGTCAATATATCTTACCCAAGATACACCACTTCTACTGCGTCTGCAGTACATTGCGTACCCCTACGACTCTAATGAGTTACTGGACTCGTGATCGTCAAATGAAGAATTCTAGACCTAATTCATTGAAAGTTAACGTGGCAGAAACAATATATTTGTTTCATTCTGGAATCACCAGCAGCGATTATACCGTTTAAAATTAAAACGTTACAAGTCACATCAACTATTTAACCTACTCTCGAATGATTTCCAAAGTAATGCCTGTAGGAAATGCGTATTATATGACGGAAAATATTGCTTAATACTTTAATTAAAGACATTCACCTGTGTGCTGACGAAATATACGTTATTTATTTTAGAAATTATAGTATGTAAAACGGAATTATAAATCGGTGAATGCACATACGTAAATTAATACTTGTTAATCCCAGATGATTCATATTTTATTAGTAATTACCATCCCCACTTTTTTCCCTACAATATTTCTTCTGTGACGGCATCTGCACTCGAATAGACCAAACAGTTGGCACCCTCTTTCACTCAGTCGGTGGAAGTCGTTCAATTGAAGCAATTCGAACCTTCAGCCCAACCCAATTTGCATATTTAAAAAGTAAACCAGAAGAACCTACACATCCATTTTCCGAAAGTCGGTTTAATATTATAATTGATTAACTCGATTACAAACTATATATTCCCACTTTTTCTTCCCTCACTTCTTTAATGTTTCTTTCTCTCTTCTCCTCCCTTTTCTTTCTCACATAACAGCATTACATAAAAACTTGTTTCTTTTCTTTCTCGCCATATCGGTCTTTTTTCTCACCTTCTCTTTCTCAACACTTATACGTACATTCGCCCTTTTCACTTTTTCTCTAAATATTTTCTTTATTTCCCCTCTCTTTGTTCCTTTTAATATTTAGTCTTTCTTTCTTTCTTTCTTTCTTTCTTTCTTTCTTTCTTTCTTTCTTTCTTTCTGTGGACGGTAGGTTAATTAGATTCGTTTATTCTCTCTTTTCTCTCTCTTTTTTCTTCAGTCTTTCTTTCTTTTCTTTCTTTTGTCTGAACCGTCTCTCTGTATGTAAATTTCTTACATTTGACATCTTTTTTCTTTCTTGCCTTTATTCACTTTTTATTTCCATCTTTTTCTCTGTCATTAAACAACAGTTTCCTTCATTTTTCTTTCTTTCCTTCTTTCTTTGAACTCACTCTTTTTATATCTACTGTGTATTTGTTTGATCGCTTTCTTTCTTTCATTCTTTTTTGATACCTCTCTTTTTCTTTGTGTCTATCGTTTATTTCTTTGATCGCATTCTTTCTTTCTTTCTTTCTTTCTTTCATTTCTTTCTTTCTTTCTTTCTTTCATTCTTTTTTGATACCTCTCTTTTTCTTTGTGTCTATCGTTTATTTCTTTGATTGCATTCTTTCTTTCTTTATTTCATTTCTTTCTTTCTTTCTTCCTTTCATTTCTTTCTTTCTTTCATTCTTTTTTGATACCTCTCTTTTTTTCTTTGTGTCTATCGTTCATTTCTTTCTTTCTTTCTTTCTTTCTTTCTTTCTTTCTTTCTTTCTTTCTTTCTTTCTTTCTTTCTTTCTTTTTACCTTCTCTTTATTACTGTTTCTTTACTTACACTCGTCGTCGTCTCCCGAACTTTCATTTTCCTCCGCCTACAAAAAACACTGCTACAAATTTCTTTTTTTTTTCATTTCATCTTTCGAATAAGTCAATGGAGAATTCTACATAATATTGAAGCCGGCCCAAATTTCAAGGGCCCAGCCACCGAGTACAATTCTTACTCGCTCTGATATTTCAGAATGCTGATAACACGTCTTGTAGTAACAAAAAATGGATTACATTACCCATGTGAAAAGTAAAATAATAATAATATTAACGATAATAATAATAACGATAATACTAATAATAATAATGATAATAATAATAAAAGATAAACAAAACAAAAAGGAACATAAGATAAAATAAAAAAATAACAGAAAAATAAATGTGACCTTGTACCCAAACTAAGCAGAGCTGTGTAAATAAAATGCAAATAAATAAATAAATAATAATACCAGAACAGTATCATCTTCGAAAGATACAAGTTTAGATAATGTTTGGTGGAGGTTGGTGTCTGCCAATGAACTTAGAAACCTTTCCATTTTTAATGAAATCGTCTATTGTCATTTCATTTTATGTTGTTATTTTATATTTGTTTTTCTTTATGTTTTAGAGGCGTTGGTGGGGGTGAATGATTTGTTTTTTTTTGTTTTTTTTTGTTTTATTTGTTTTCTCTCTCACTCAGACTAACATCGTTACTCACTTTCTTTCATTATGTCCAAATAATCAAATTTCAAAATCATTTTCCTCCCTTTATCATTAATGTTATTTTCAACCTCTCTTAATATTGGAAACTTTTAATTTTTGTTATTTCGTTTCTCTTCTATTATTTGTTTTCTTTACTAGTTGTTCACCCAATGAAAGGCCGAAGAGGCTCTTAAGGTAGAGGAATACTGAATGAATTTGTTTCATGAATGTAAGAGGAAGAAAGAAGTACAGGTTATAAATATACGTAGGAAAGCTAACATCCTGGACTTAAAGAGGAAAAGATTTAGTGATCAGAAAAGCATCATCTCGACAGTCTGTTCCATAAAATAGCAGTTCTTCAGAAGATTCTTTGATTCCTAGGCAGATTGGGGAGAAATAAATGAATTCCTCTTTTGAAACATGAATTTGTGTGAAAGTAAAAAAAAATTCAAACGGAGATACGAACTTGGACCGCTGATTTCTTTTCCTAAATCGCTAACCGCTGCTCTAACCGTACAGTCCACAAAAGAAATTATAGCTTCGTAAACAGTGCAGAACGTTTTAAGGCTTACAAAATTTAATAATTTAAATTTATTAAAATATATTTTTCTTTTTTTTTTTACCCGCACCTGGGGCATGTTTTGTGGTTGAGATAGTAGCAATTGTTCGAATCCTAGTAAAAATAATCAAAGGTTTTTAAATGTTTATTTTCAGAGCAAACCTTACATATAAAACTGGCATCGTGTAATCTTAATATGACTGTCGTCCTGGTTAAGACGATAAACTACGTCCAACAGAATGGCCTCTGATCAGGAGGTTTTGATGAGCGTGGAACCACCTCTTAATTGTTGGTGTTCCCAGAACCATCCTGACCCGGAGTGGTAGCACCTGTTAGGGTCCCAGTTATGGGCAAATAGTTAACGCCGAAACTGAGGTCAAAACGCTATGAAAGTGTAAAAATAGGTTTTAATATCAGAGATACTTGTAAAAAATCATTACCAGCAATACAACTATTACCAACAATACGTTTTTGAAAACAAAAATATTACAAGCCATACATTTTTGAGCAAAACAATATTACCAGAAATAGATTTTTGACAAAACAAATTATTACCAGCAATAAAAATTTTGTCGGCATTAAATAACCCGTTGAGGTTGATGTGTCGTAAAACAAACCAAACCAAACTTAATATGACTGATTACTTCACAAGTTAGATTTACGTAGGAAAACGTACTTGCTATTAACTATTTTTTGTTCCTTGCTAATGAAACTATATCCGATTACTACTGTAAAAAAATCTAGTTCATAGAAACCTAACTCTTGTCTCCCTCTGTCAACATTTTGCTTTTGATTCAACAAATCGATCACATTCAACTGCTAACAATTTATGCAGTGAAACACAGAAATGTTTCTTCTAACTTCTCAGAACATTTATTTAATATTTATTTATATTTTTCTCTCAATAGGAGTAAATAGATTTGACTTCCTTCACGACATCTTGAACAGGAGTAGAGGTTTATCTCTTTTTTCCTTTCTAGGACTGGGTTTCCGGTTCTTTCTAAAATTTACATAAACCCTATACATCTAACGTCTCCGCCTCCGTCTTGGAGTATGATGATAAACTACAACTGTGTCTTGGGTAAAATGATAAACTACAGCCGAGAGCCAGGGCATGAGGTTTTGAGGAGCGTGGAACCACCTCTTAATTGCTGGTGTTCCCAGGTCTACCCTAACCCGAGTTGGTATCACATGTTAGGGTCCCAACTATGGACAAATAGTTAACCACCAAACAGGGGACAAAACATTATGAAAGTTTAAAAATAGGTTTTAATACCAGCAATAGTTTTTTATTTAGAAAAATTATTACCAGCAATACATTACTAGCAATATATATATATATATATATATATATATATATATATATATATATATAGATAGATAGATAGATAGATAGATAGATAGATAGATAGATAATATTAGTGGTAAATATACATATACATATGCAAAATATATAAATATATCTACATAGGTGCATACACATGCATATTTTTTGAATAAAAAATTCAAAGAGGAGAGAATCCAGGTCGAACTCAATGTCCATGACAGAGTAAGGATATAATAAAAAGGCGTAAACACTAATATTCCATGGTCATAATTTATTCCATTGGAATCGTAAATACGATACAATTCATCAGACCTACAAATTCAAAAAGAAAACAGAAAAAACAACTCCGGAAATAAAAAATAGAATTTAGAAAGAGTGTAAGTATGAGAGTGTGGGACGAATGTTAGAGCTAAAGAGAGGGATAACAGACGAGGGAAGGTGGGGGATTAAAACTTAACAGAGAGAAGTTTTAGAGAGGTGAGTCAAAGACGGTTTAAGTGAGAGAAATATGAACGTTGTCGGATGTCTAATACATTAAAGTTGTAACCGGAAAGGATACATTTTGTGGTGACATACACACACAATAGACAATATAATCTTAAAGATCAGAAGCAGAGGGATGGAGAGGAAAAATATATAAAAAAGAAAAAAGAAAAAAAAAGAGAAAAAGGGGTGGGGAGAGAGATGGAGCGGGGGAAACTAAAACTGAAGGGCATTTACTGAAAGGGCCGCTTTGTAATTGAGAAAATTTGACAAAATTAATATCGACTACAGGTTACAAATCAAATATTAACATATAAAATATAAATATAACGATTATCTAATCTAGCAAGGACCTATATTTTTATGTTCAAAAACACATGCGTATACACACATACACAATAACATATACACGTAGATACATACATATAGGCTTGTACCCACATACACACATATATATACCCATGTACACAGATACACATATGTCCATATATATATGTATATATATATATATATATATTCTCATATGCACATACATACATACACATACACATACATACACACATACACATACATGTATACATATACATACATAAATACACACACATACATATATATACACATACATCTATACACATCCACTCCTACAGATATATATACGCATTTACACGCACATATACATACGGACATACACATACGTGCACATAAACATATATACATAAAACCTTACGCATCTCCATATAATTACATACACCCATCTAAACAAATAAACAATGTATCCCTATATCTATCCGTCTAACTATACATACATACAAATATACATACATATACACCTATATACAGATATATATGAGTACATACATACCAAAACATACACACACATATAAAGACATCTACATATACATCTACCTACATATACATGCATCCATATACCCATGAATATATATATACATATATACGCATACATATACAAATATATACATACACATACATATACCTATATACACACCTGCATATACACACATATACACACATACACACACAGGTACGCACATATACATATACATATAAATCAAAATGTAAAATCTAAAAAAGTAAAATTTTTTTTAAAAATTTGTCTCAAAAAAATTTTAAATACATAGCGCATCACATAAACATACATAATGATACATATAGAGTGAAACATAATAAACGTAATAGTCATTCCATTAAAATGTCATGCCCGATGTTATTGAACCAAGATGGAACTGACATAAGTGACAACATGTTACAAAACGGTCTGTATGTTTTGAATCGTTTATTATGTCTACATTTAGAAAAT